TATATATACTTGAGAAGAATATAAAGCCATATAATTCTACAAATATTTGATTAGACTCAATGTGAGATTAAAGTGTAGGTAAAATGCATGGAAATTTATCCTGTAATTACCACTTGAGCAATCTTCCCACAAAGACTTAAGGTAAAGCAGCTGTCAACTGCAGGCTAATCTGAGAGGCAGTATACTATTAAACAAGAGCATGGGTGTTGTACCTAATCTTCTACTTTGAACTGATCTCTCTTAAAAACACCTTGAGTTGGGCTGGGGATTTAGCTCAGTGGTGCTGCCTCACAATCACAAGATCCTGAGTTCAATGACCAGTACCAAAAACAAAACAAAACAAAAAACACCTTGAGTTCTAAACTCAATGTTCAAACAAGACAGTTAAAATCAACAATACACAATGAGTAAAATAAAAGAATCTGACTTTAAAATAAGAATATTTAGGTTTCTCAAAAAAGGAAAATGGCCTTTGCCCTGTGAGATACCCTGCAACCAAAAAAGACTTTGTAACCCTGTAACTTGAAGATTTCCATCACTGAGTTAACTTTCACATTATGGTCCCACTTAAAAATTCATATTGGATGTTATAACATTAAAAACTGAGGATTACAGAAAACAACTCTTGCTTAACTTTGTTTAGCTCTGATTTTCCCAACCCTATTTAATCAGAGTCCTTTCCTCACCTAATAATAAGCAACACTTATTGACTATACACTGTCAAGTACTAATCTGTTTTTTTAAATTATTCTCATATTACACATGAGCACACTAGAGCAGTAAAAAGTAAAATATCTTCCCCAAAGTCATACAGCTAGTAAGTGGCAGGGCTGGGGTTTGAACCCAGGATAGTCTGGCTCTGACTTCTTTTAACCTCAAGGCTACAATGCTTCTGTTACACCTATTAGAACCAAAGGAATTGATGTTCTCTGGAATTCTTGTTGGCAAATGCTGACATGTATACTTTATATCTATACAAAAAAGGAATGAAAAAAGATTACACAGAAAAAAAAGTGTGAGGAAACAACAGTAAAAAAAAATCATTAACAGTTATCTCAGTTGTATTTTGCTATAGGACAATGGATGATTTCTTTTTTTCTTTAACCTTTTTTTTTTTTTACTATCCAGCCTTCCTTCAAAAAATTAACCTTGATAGTTAATATTTACTATAATGCAAGGTACAATGCTAAGTACATTCCATGCATTAACTCATTAAATCTTCATGCCTTTGAAATGAGTACTATTATCTCCATTTTACAGACAAAAAAAAGTCAGTGGTTCACAAACTATGGTCTATGAGGTCAAAACTATTTTCATAATATGACTAAAATGTCATTTTCTATTTTCACTATCCTGACATCTGCCCTGGTGGCAGAAAAGCAATGATGATAAAATACTGCACTCTGACACAGATCAAGGCAGTGCTGAACAAGAAATCACTCTGTTCTTCATTTAGTTTTTTAAAAAGGTCAGTTTCACTTAAGAATCCCTTGGATGAAGCAGTGAAAAAATTAATTTTATTAAATCTCAACTCCTGAGCACACAGCTTATTACTGTGCTGAGTAGTGAAATGGGGAATACATATGGGACTCATGCTGCATACTGAAGTAGGATGGTCACTTCAGGGATTAGGCACGTAGGAAACTGAATTACAAGTTGAACCAACTGCTTTTCATAGAATACCATTATCACTTAAAGAAACAAGTGGCTAACTACATCCAGATGATTGTATAGATTTGGGTTAGCATTTGGCAGACATTTTCTCCAAATAAATGAAGTGAAACTCACTTGAAGGAAAATAACTGACACTGTATTTGTTGCCACTGATAACATTTGACCTTTCAACCAAAAATCAGAGCTTTCAAAAACTGACACCACCAGGAACTTGACAATTTTCCACTATTTAAAGACTTTTCTGATGAGACTGATACCACTATTAATGGATGTGTGTAGTTTTCTTTAATTGCTTTAACATGTTCCTGTCAGCTTGAACCAACAGAGGTTCACGACTGCCTCATCAGGTGTCTCATCGGGTGGCACAGAGAGGTAATAAGCCATACATGGGACAGTCATACATGTGTCACCAGTGGGAATGTGTTAAAATTTAGCAGATTCAATGCAGGGCAAAAAAATTTAAAGGGAAGTTTGCTAGAACCAAACTTGAAAAGGAGATTGCTCTGCTTTAAGAAAAGCGTTCAATGCTGTCTTTTTTTCTGACCAATGTGTTGTGTGGATATGAAGTCTGAAATTGCTGCAATGATTCTGACCCCAAAGGGTAGCCAACCTCATCATGACACTGACTGTGCAGAAGACACAGAACAGATGTAAGAAAGTAAGTCATAGGGAACATAACTGAGAAGCTGAATTAAATTACTCCTAAACTCATCCTACTGCTGGACCATTTGAAAGAACCTCTTAATTGCTGAGATCAATTTGGGTTAGGTATTTGTTACTCTCAAGGCATTTTACTAAATTAATTTTTCAAAATGAGTATGAATGCAATATTTTTATAATTCAAGAAAAATTTTATTGTGAAAATCCACATTGAATTTACATAGTTTCATATAGAAATGGCATTATTTTGGGCTGGCAATTTAGCTCAGTGGTTCTGCCACCTGCCTTGCAACCTCAGGGTCCTGAGTTTGACCCCCAGTAACAAAAAAAAAAAAAAAAAGAAATACCATTATTTTAAATTACCTTTTCAGTGTTCTTGTATTTTTCCCATCCTTTTAGCATTTTCAGCCATTTGGTAGTTCTTTCAATTTCCAAGTGCTTTTGCTAAAATAAAATTGAAATTCACTGTTATTGTTTGAGGCTTCTCTATAAATTACAAAAATACTCAAAGAGAATTTTGAATATTGTTGCTTTAAAAGGACTACTAAAAAAAAGCCATTCTATATTAGATAAGAAATATCCTTACTTTTGTAAGTTGGACAATATTGAAGTGGTGTCAACAGTATTCCACAGCTAAAGTTAGGAGTCCTAGGGAATGCTCTATTTAGGTAAAAAGATACAGAAAGGTATGGCTTCTATTTTCTAACACTTTGAAGCTAATTGCTGAAAATCTTGAGTATTCTACATATTTTATAAAAGGAAATTTTAAATACTCGGAAATATCTCTTATGAAGGAACAGAAACACTTTCAAAATTCAACTCTTCCACATTATGCGTTCTATCAAGTTTTCAATGAAAGTCAGCTTTTTAACGGAGAATTGAGTATTTATTTATTTACAATATGGTCAATACATAACTAGCCCTATACTAGAGAAAAATTATACAGAAGTGAGTAAGGCATAGTTGTTGCCCTAAGGAGATGCACTAGGCACTCAGGGTAACCAACATGGAAAGACACAACACTACAGCAGGTGCTCTGACATAGAAACAGGTCGGGTAACAGCAAGGACACATTGGAAGGAGCAGTCAAATCCACCCAGGGTGTCCATGAACAAGAGCTACAAATGAAGAATGAAAGATTATTAGGGTTTTTATGAAGTCCAAAGTGGAAATGACCATTGTAATGGTAGTTCCAAAGGGCTTTGAAAAAGGAAATATCAGGAAATGAAGCTGAAAAAGTAGGCAAGGGTTTTGAATGTGACATGAAATGAAGAGCTGGGCCGAGCTGGGCTGAGCAGGGGAGCAGTGAAGCTGAGACATAACAAATGCCAGCTCCTGATTTCTTTGCTTTTCAGAAGGAGAGAGAGTTTTCTGCTAAGTACTTGGGCCTGTGAGTATAGTAAATGTATGAATAAAAAGCGATGGAAACAGAAGAACACAAAGAAGGAAAATAATTCTGAAGACATATCTTATGCTCAAGAAACATATAGAGTACCCTACAGCTTCATGAGGATGTATGGCCATCTCCACTTTAACACGAGGAGACAGGCATAACATGTGTAAGGGACACATAAAAGGGTAAAAGAGGGGCTCAAAGCAAGGCAGTTTGACTCCAGGATTTGCATTCTTAGCCACAGCATCTTCTGTCTCTGGCCTCTATCCCTAGTATAGGCAATCATAGTTCCTGGATGAAAACAATGGCTCCTTGCTGACTGGCTTCAATCCAGCCTCAGATAGACAGGCATTACAGTGGCAGATGGCATACACCCACCACCAATATTTTTAGATCTAAAAGAAACATAAAATCTGATCCCCCAATACAGAATTTAGGAAAAGATTCTCATCGATGAGAATATTTTTATAGAATTTTTATTTTAGTTATATTCTTAAAACTTTTTTTCACGCCATTTAAAAAGTTTTGATTTTTTTCATAATAAAAGGTGATTACTCATGAGCAAAAGACATTCTGTTATAATTCCCATTTTTCAAAAGGCTAAGCGTAGTCTTCATTATATTATTAGTGATAAAATGTTGCAGATGGTTCCAGAAATATGTTTAATTTTAAAACTCAGTGGGACACTGAAATCTAATTAATGTTTCTGCTAAATATGACTTTAAGAAGGCCACACTGAAAAATTAAGATTGATCTAAACTGCCATTTCATATTTTTTCTGTTTTTACTCTCCCTAACTTTTTCAAAGCATAATCTCTTTTCCCACTAACAGAAAAACACCAAATAATTCAAGCCAGCCCAAGAGTATAATAACACACAGTTTGCCAGGAACAGCCCTGCTGAGATCTAGCAGGTCTCTTGCTATCTTTCATTTTTATGACTATGAATTATCAACGAATCACTTTAGGAAGCAGTCATTCTTTTTTTTTTTTAAAGACACACTTTTGTATTCTAGTGCTTATATACATAGATTGTTTTAAATACTATACATTTTCACACTGCAAAGCAAAACACACAGATACAATTTTTTAAAAACCACTGAGTGTGGTTTTCTTTCCCTGACATTAAAAAAAAAAGTTATACGTGCAAAAGCTCCCAGGCTATAGGATTTTAAAATTATCATTAGATCAATCAAATTTGAATGTTAACTCCATAATGCTGTCAGTTCAACAATACCCAACTTGAATTGAACATGAATGTCTTTTTCTCCTACTTCTAAATCTCTAATTTATGGTTAAAATACTTTCTCACCAAATATGCTGAAGCTAATTATTCCAAAAATTATCTTGAAGAAATAAGCAAAAACATATTTGACAAATGCAAAGTTAAATGCTCTAGATAAATAGGCTCAGGAACATCAACTTGTAGACGCAACAACACCAAGATGAAACTAGAATACAACAGCGTATTAACAATTTTTACCTAAATGATTAAAGGATACATTAAACTCAACATATTCAAAACAATTTCCCCAAACATGCTGCTATTACCCTTCTGTTTGTTCCCTGACATGAATAAACAACATCTCTATGCATTCAATCAATCAAATTGGAACCATGGCACTGTTTTGAGTCTCCCTTTTATCTCACTTCCCACACTCAGACTACATGCTGCTGCTCTCACTTTGCATCTCATTTCCATCCTGTCCTCTGCCCTCACTCAAGAAATCACAGTTCCTGGGATGAAAACAATGGCTTCTTACTGACATCCTTGTTTCAATTTAGCTTTAACATTGTTACCACACTTTTTAAATACGTCCCATTTTAAATTCCTTCAATGGCTATTCATTCTCTACAAATAGAGATCAAACCACTTAACATAGCATACATGATGGTCCTTCACAATTGGCCCTGACTCACTTTCCAGTTTTACTTATTGCTACTTTTACAATCTGGCTATCCGGAACTACTTATCATTCCAAACATACAATGTATTTTCATGCCTCTTTTACCAATGTTCGTTATTTGTCTGCCTGTGATGCTCTTCTTCACCATCATTTGGCAAAATCCTATGCGTGCTCCAGATCCCAGGACAAATGTTCAAGGTCTAAAACCTCTCCCAAATAGCTCCAGGCTCCCAGCAGAATTAACTATTCCTCAGGTTTCAATGGCATGGACTAAGGACCCAGCTAAGCTGGACCCAAATCTGAGTTCTGCCCCTTCCTATTTGTTTCACTTCAGACAAATTACTTAACTCTTCTGTGCCTTTGTTGTCTCAGCTAAAAACGAGAATTAGCACGATTACTGTCATAGCACTCAACTCTTGTTTCTAGCTGCCTAAATGCACAAATCACATTATTATTAAATTATGAACTCTTTGGCCACAAGAACTATACCATATGTTCACCTTTGAATTTCATCATCTAAAACAGTGGTTGTTACCTAAGAAAATTTAAACATTCTAAAATTAGAGTTTACATTTTGTCAACTAAACAGCACTATGAAATAATCAACAGTCTTCTGTAGTCTCGAGGTAGAGGGTTGTGAAGGAAAATGAATAGGAATAGACTACAATCAGAATATTACTTTTGATGGCAGTTTAATCATCAGAATATACATATGAAAGGTGAATTATAATAGTGTCTCTTACATGACATAATAGAAATGGTATCATTCCACCAACATTTTTCAAAGTACTACCACAAGCAGAACTACAGAGTTTAGAAGCGTGTACAAAACTGATTCTTTTCCATTCTTACTTTGGGGAAGGGGTGTTAATGGGGATTAAATCCAGGGTCTACACACTGAGCTATATCACCACCTTTTTTTTTTTTTTTTTTAAGGCAGGGTCTCATTAACTTGCTAAGTTCCCCAGGACCCCAAGCTGGGCTCAAACTTGGAATGCTCCTGCCTCAGCCTACGAGATTTCCAGAGTTACAGGTATTTGCCACCATGACTGGCTGCTATTTTCACTTTGAAATATTTTAAGCCTATAGCACAGCTGAAAGAGTAGCGCACCATATATTCAAATGTGCTTTACCAAGATCCATCAATTATTAATCTGCAATATTTCATTTTTCTGTATTGTTTGGGAGTTTGTATGTGACTAACTCATTAGAAAATCATAGCACAAACACTTCATCTCTACACATTCCCAAGTATGTAGCACCTAAGAACAAAAACATATTATCCTAATGACTGCATCATTATTATACCTAAGAAGTTTAAAATTAACTCATTATTAACAACGGTCCATATGCCAAATTCCTTAATTGTCCCCTTGCTTTTTTAATTTTGGCAATACTGGGGATTGACTTTAGTGTCACATGTGCAAGCAAGCATTCTACCACTGAGCTATCTCTCCAGCCCCCAAAATGTTTTTTATAGCTAGTCTTTTATGTGGAAGAGGAGCTCAGGATCCTATTATGGGTCACTCATCACATTTATTGAGATGTGTCTTAATTTCCTTTGATCTAAAACAACGCCTTTAGCTTTTTCTCTTTGTTGACACGTGTGTATATGTGTGTGCGAGAGCAAGAGAGAGACAGAGATAGACAGACAGACAGACAGATACAGATACACAGAGACACACACTCTGAGGATTGAACCCAGACTGAACTACATCCCTAGCCCCATTTAAATTTTTTAAATTTTGACAGAGTTTCACCAAGTTGCTAAATTACCCAGACTGGGCTTGAACTTACAATCTTCCTGCCTCAGCCTCCCAGGATGCTGGGATTATAGACATGTGCCACAATGACAATGACATTTTTGAAGAGTACAGGTCACATTACCTGCCTTTGACTGGCTCCTCTAGATTTGGGCAGGATTACTACTCATTGTTATCGTATTTTTCCTGCTGCATTACATCAGAGGGGCATGATGCCAATTTGTATGATCATCAATGATGCTATAGATTGATCACTCAATAGAGGTAATATTTGCCCAAATTCTCCATTAACTAAGACATTTCATTTTATAAATAATGAGTAATCTGTGTAATATACTTTGAGATATTGTGTATATCATCCTGTTCTTTTTTTTTTGGTACC